CCTGCCACCATCACAGGCTCACCTGGTGAGGCCATGAGAGAGAGCCACCTCAGTGTTTTTGGGGTTTTTTTGTACAACTTTTAAATTATTTTATATTGTTTAATGTATGCAGGGGTGTGTGAATTGATTTAAATGTTATTGTAAATCTTTATAATTTACTCTTTCTGGAAGCCAGCTTGGATTCCGCTTTGAAAGAAAGGCGGTATAGAAATGAATCAAATAAATAAATGGTTATTGAAGACTGTCCAAACCTTGTGTGCTTGGAGTGCTGGAGTGGGACTTGGGAGGTTCGGATTCACATCCGCTGTGAGCTAGGAAAGGGGCTGGGAGATCTTGGGCCAGTCAGTTACTCATTCTCTTAGCTAAGACCAACTTCACAGAGTTTTTCTGAAGCTGGAGGGAAAGGATGTCATCTACACTGGAGGAAACACATACTGAAGGAAAGACAAAATAGAAATGTAACAAATGACGGCCATCTATGGTATGTCATGGCGTAGTGGTTTGAGCATTGGACTATGACTCCAGAGACAAGGGTTTGATTTCCGCTCAGCAATAAAACCCACTAGGTGACACTGAGCATGTCACACACTCTCAGCCTCAGGGGAAGGCAATGGCAAACCCCCTCTGAACAAATGTTGCCCAGAAAACCCCATGATAGGGTCTCAGTAAGTTGGAAACCACTTGAAGGCACACAACACACATGCATACAAGGTATGTCTACATGGGCCAAATGAATAGCTTCTCCCCCATCATCACATTGCTCTGTCTTCACAACACAGGGCCAAAGGACCAATTTGACCAAGGACTGTCTTCACAAGGGAATGACAGTTCTGCAGTGAATCTGGGCCATTTCTGCATTAAAGCAAATTTTAAAAACTCACCATTTGCTCCGGATCTCCCACAAAAATCCAGAGCAACGTCAGGCAGCTGTTTGCAGTCTCTAAAATCACAACAAGGCACCTAGCCATGGGGTTGATGCTGGATGCCTTCTTTTCAATTTCAGAGGGAGTGACATGTGCCAGCGGTGGTGGGCAGCACAGCTGGATGCACATGTAAACAGCCAAACAGTGTCACTCTGGAGTGCCCAGGTAATGGGAGAAATTCAGGGCAGCTTTGGGGCCAGAATATCTCGGGAGCAGCCTGGAGTATCCTAGCCAGTGTAGACCCACTCCTAGTTAACTTTGTACCTAAATAGGTGTCAGAATGCAAAAGATCCTGCCATGTATTGATCCTATATTTGTTTGATGATGCTGTTTTAATGTATGGGGGTTTTGCAGTGTGTCTTTGTTTTCTGGTTTAAGCAATGGTCAAAGCTATAGTAGCTGCAGGGTTAAAACAGTTGTATAAAAATGTAGCATGGTGAGACCAGACAAAGGAATGTGTGGGAAGGCTAGCTCTTAGCAGGCAGGAGCTCATTCAAGGCTAGCTTTCAATTAATTTTCAAATGCTTTTATTAGACCCTGATGGCCTCAGTTCTATCCGAGAGGCCTTACTAGCAACTTCTATCCTTTATGACTCCAGCAATAAATGCCTTTCACTGAAGACTGATTGACTGGGTCTGAAAGGGAGAGTTCATTTATCTCTGACAGTGCAAATGCATTTGGAACAAGACATCCCCAACATGGAAGAAATTCCTTAGAGTGAACTGCTTTGGAAGAACAGGGAGCCCCAAAACCAGGATATTCCTACTGGACTGAATAGTAGGACTTTTTTTGTTGTTAATACAAAATGACAGGCAACAAGGGGGATTTAAGCATAGTGTCCTTGAAACAAACATATTTTCTGCACCTCATCTCTCAGCTGAGGCTGATGGTTGTTTGTCTTATGCTTGTCAGTCTGCATTGAGCTAGAATTCCTTACCATTTTGGTCACCTAAGCTCCCAAGGCTGTAAACAACAGTATATCTAGTAGGTAAATCAACATCGTTTCCCTTAAGAATCTCTTAACATCTGGACTTCAGGGATATTTATACAATAGGAGGATAAACCTTCCAGCTTTACAATCTTTTATATATTTATTAAGTAGAGCAATTAGTTTCTCCACTTACAAACTCCTTGTGGAGGATCACAGACATCTCAGTCTTGGTTTGTTACTTCTACAGACATTTCATAAGCTAGTCACATTATTTTTTAACCAAAAATATCTCTCAGAATTAACACACATAGGACTTGAAATACATAAACATGGAAAGGAAGATCTACTTATACAATACTGAGGCATCGCAACTCATATTTCACCTGTTGAGGAATTAATATACAGGTAGTGTAGTGGTTTGAGCATTGGACTATGACTCTGGAGATCAGGGTTTGAATCCCTGCTTGGCCATGGAAACTCACTGGGTGACCTTGGGCAAGTCACACTCTCTCAGCCTTAGAAGATGGCAATGGGCAAACCCCCTCTGAAGAAACGTGCCAAGAAAACCCCACAATAGGTTCGCTTGAAGGTCGCCATAAGTCAGAAATTACTTGAAGGCACACAACAACTAACAACAAATGTATAAACACTGGCGTATGTGGTAGTATTTCAGCCTTTTCAATGCCTTACATTACAATTAAGAAATCTGCATTTTTACAAAATACAGTTGAGATGATGGCGATGATATTAATGATGATGATGATGTTCAAATAATAATAATAATAATAATAATAATAATAATAATAATAATAATAATAATAATAATACTGTTTAGAACAAAGGGCAGAACATCAAACATATACAATCAGATAGAGATGATAAAACATGACATTATAAATATACATAAAACCCCAAAGTCCCACCAGCCACTGGCCTTCTCAGCAACTGCAGGCACAGCTCAGCAGCAATGATAATAATGTTTATAGCTCTCTTCTCTTTTCTCTTCTGTTCTCTTCTCTGGAGGATGAAGGTGGTGCTTTTACTCCCTGATGTGCTGGCTATCTAAAGGCACCCGTCGTATCTCCTTTCCAGCAAGGAGCAAGGGCTGGCAATACTGGTTCCTCACTTGGCGACTCAGTCCCTGGGGAAGCTGAAGCCTGTTCCTGGAAGGATGAGGCCTCTCTTCTCAGCAGGCAGCCAACAATTCTTGGCAAAGAGAGGCCACAGCAAGTGGATGATGGGAACAGCTACAGCCCTCTCTTCTCTAAAAAAATGGTGGGGCTAGCTCTTCTCCCTGGTATGCTGACTGATAATTATACTTTTCAAATCTAGGATTTTTTTTCTTCTCTGAATGGGCTTCTTAAGGCAATACATGCAAGTTTTCTATTTTTTGACCTAAGCATGAGTTTCTAAAGTACAAAGTAGCCATAAGCTCGGCACTGTTCCACTGTGTATCACTAGCCAAATTATCAAATATATCTCTTATAGTCAATTTTAAGGGCTAAATGTATTTTATGCACCATCATTACACCAGGGAATCTCAGATTTTATAATACAGGATACCCATTTCATGTCATATGTATTACTCAAAACATATGGCTAATAATCCTGGCTGCTTCTACCTATTATCTCTTCCTGTGACAACTTTTCCAACATATTATTCTGTGCTCTTTCTTTTAATCCACTTCACCAAAAAATCACAATGTTGCATTGGGACCAACTGGTTGCTTGCTATATGATGTGCCACTTTCCATCTAAATCTATAGTGTCCTTTAACAAGGAATCTCAAAGATTGTTCCATGCATAGATACAATAAATGCACAGCCCCCCTGAGATCATAGATCACAGATCATGAAATCATAGATCATAGACCATGAAAGGCTATGGAACACCCTTAAAGACATGGGAGTGCCAACACATCTGATAGTCCTGATGCGGAATCTGTACTCAGGATAAGAGCTACTGTCAGAACAGATCACAGAGAAACAGAATGGTTCTCAATTGGCAAAGGAGTCAGACAAGGCTGCATCCTCTTTCACCCTACCTGTTCAACTTGTGTACAGAACATATTGTAAGGAAAGCAAACTTGGACACAGAAGAAAGGAGTGAAAATAGGGAGAAGGAATATCAACAATCTAAGATATGCAGA